GCTAATTTTTTGTATTTTTAGTAGAGATGGGGTTTCACCATGTTGACCAGGATGGTCTCGATCTCTTGACCTCATGATCCATCCACCTTGGCCTCCCAAAGTGCTGGGATTACAGGCGTGAGCCACCGCTCCTGGCCCAGACAGAATATTAAAGGCAATATTGTTTTTCTTTGAGAATAACTTCCCTCAGTTAGATACGGGAACTTCAGAGAGAGCCTGTCCCTGCACTTGTGGGAAGAAACAAGGGAATGTCAGAGAGACCTCGATTTGGAGGCAGAGTCCGAGGCCTTCCATTTAATTCAAAGCATTCAGCATGCCAAAGTGCCTTACTCTAGAGTATCATTTTCTGAGTCTCACCGTTAGGTATTTTATAGTTTATAGCACCACTGTAAATGAAAAATATTAAATATAAGGATACAATTGATTTTTGTTTATTGTTGTGGTGTAATGCAAACTTGGACATTAATTTATCAATTCTAGTGGCTGTTTTTTAGATTCCCTGTAATTCTTTAACTGTGATAAGAGCATTTTATATGAAGTCTTCACAAACCTCTCAACAATTTTTAAGCATGTAATACATTATTGTGGACAGTGCTGTAGGCAGATATTTAGAGCTTATTCATCTTGATTGCCTGAAACTTTAAGCCTATTGATTATTAACTCCCATTTCCCTCTCCCACAAGGCCCTGGTAATCATCATTCCATTCTTTGATTCTATGAATTCAGCTGCTTTAGATGTCTCATATAAATGGAAACATGCACTATTTCTGAGACTGGCTTATTTCACTTAGCATAATGTCCTCAAGGTTCACCTATGTTGTCACATATTATAGAACTTCTGTCTTTTAAAAGCCTGCATAGCCGGGCGCAGTGGCTCAAGCCTGTAATCCCAGCACTTTGGGAGGTTGAGGCAGGAGGATCACAAGGTCAAGAGATCGAGACCATCCTGGTCAACATGGTGAAACCCTGTCTCTACTAAAAATACAAAAAATTAGCTGGGCATGGTGGTGCATGCCTGTAATCCCAGCTGCTCAGGAGGCTGAGGCAGGAGAATTGCCTGAACCCAGGGGGCGGAGGTTGTGGTGAGCCGAGATTGTGCCATTGCACTCCAGCCTGGGTAACAAGAGTGAAACTCTGTCTCACCAAAAAAAAAAAAAAAAAAAAAAAAAAAAAAAAAAAAAAAAAAAAAAAAAGCCTGCATAGTACTGCTTTTTTTTTTTTTTTTTTTTGTCTGAGACCAAGTCTCGCCCCGTCACCCAGGCTGGAGCAAAACGGTAGGATCTTGGCTCACTGCAACCTCCGCCTCCTGGGTTCCGGTAATTCTCCTGCCTCAGCCTGCCAAGTAACTGGGATTACAGGCTAAGCCACCATGCCTGGCCAAGGCTGAATAGTATTTCATTGTATGTATAGACCACATTTTCTTTATCCACTTCTCTGTCAAAGGACATTTACATTTTTCCCATACTTTGGCTCTTGTGAATGGAGCCGCAATGAATATAGAGGTGTTAACGTCTCTTAAAGATTTTGATTTCAATTCTTTTGGCTAAACACCCAGAAGTAGGATTGCTGGATAATATAATTCCCTGGGATTTTTCTATGTAAATAGTCATATTATCTGCAAATAGAGAAACATTCTTACATCTTCCTTTCCACTCTTTATTCTTTTATTTCCTTGCTTTGCCTTATTGCAATGATGAAGATTTTCAACACAATGTTGAACAGATGTGGTAAAAGCAGGCATCTTTCTTTCTTTTTTCTCAATCTTAGAGAAAAAACGATTCAGTGTTTTGTTTACTCTAGATTTCTGCAGATTCCCTTTATAAGTGAGAAAATTCCCTACCGTATCTAGCTTGTTTGTATCACACATGAATGTAGAATTTTGTCAAATGTTTTCTTTGAATCTATCGAATTAATCACGTTTTAATTCTATTAATATGGTGAATTGTATTGCTTCTAAAAATATATCTTATAGTAAAATGTGCATAAGAAGATTTACCATTTTAACTGCTTAAGTGTAATTAAGTTAGTGGCATTAAGTACATTCACATTGTTACGCGACCATCGTCACTATCCTCCGAACATTCTCATCATTCCATAATGAGACTCTTTCTCCTTTAAACAATAATTTCCTACTTCCCAGCACCTGGTAACCATTATTCTATTTCCTTCCCTACTTCCTTCCTTCCTTCCCTCCCTCCCTTCTTTCTTTCCTTCCTTTTTTCTTTTCTTCCTTCCTGCCTTTCCTTTCTTTCTTTCTTTCCTTCTCTTTCTTTCTTTCCTTCCTTCCTTCCTTCTCTCCTTTCTGTTCCCTCCCCTCCCCTTCCCTTTTCCTTCCTTCTTTTCTTCCTTTCTTCCTGTCTGCCCTGCCTGCCTGCCTTCCTCCCTTCCTCCCTCCCTCCCTCCTTTCTTTCTTCCTTTCTTCTTTCTCTTTCTTTTCTTTCTTTCTTTCCTTCTTTCTCTTTCTTTTTCTTTTCCTTTCCTTCCTTCCTTCCTTCTTTCTCTCCCCCCACCCTCCCTCCCTTCCTTCTTTCTTTCCTTCCTTTTCTCTTTCTCTCTCTCTGTCTTTTTTTCCTCTTGCTCTTGTCACCCAGGCTGGAATGTAGTACTGCGATCTCAGCTCACTGCAACCTCTGCCTACCAGGTCCAAGCAATTCTCCTGCCTCTGCCTCCTAAGTAGCTGGGATTACAGGCACCTGCCACCATGGCTGGCTAATTTTTGTAATTTTAGTAGAGATGGGGTTCTGCCATATTGGCCAGGTTGGTCTCGAACTCCTGACCTCAGGGGATCCGCCCGGCTCGGCCTCCCAAAGTGCTGGGATTACAGGTGTCAGCCACCACGCCCAGCCATGATTCTGTTTTCTTACTCTACGAATTTGCCTATCCTTGGTACCTCAACTAAATCACATCATACAATATTTGTCCTTTGGTGTGTGGCCTGGCATCTTTCACTTGGCATAATGTCTTTAAGGTTCATCTGTGTTGTAGCATGTATCAGAAGTTTATTCTTTTTAAGGCTGATAATATTTCATTCTATGTATAGACCACGTTTCGTTTACCCACTCATCTGTTGATGGACATTTGGGTTGCTTTTACTTTGCTATGTTGTGAATAATGCTTCATATGCAAATACCTGTTCAAGTCTCTGCTAGTCAGTTATTTTGGGTATATGCTCTGCTATGGTTTAAATGTATTCTGCAAAACTCATGGTGAAATTTAATTGCCCTGTTACGTATTCAAAGGTGAGTCCTTTAGGATGCAATTAGGTTATGGGAGTTTTGCCCTCATGAATGGAATAATGCTGTGGGAGTGGGTTAGGATGTCAGAGGGTCAACTGCCTTTTCCTGTCTGTTTCACATGGGTGCTTCCTTGACATGCTATGCCTTTGACAATGTTATGATGCAGCAAGAAGACCCTTATCAGATGTGGCCCCTCAATCTTGGATTCCAAGCCTCCAGAACCATGAACCAAATACATATATTTTCTTTATAAATTATTCAGTTTTTGGTGTTCTAACATAGCAACAAAAATGGACTAAGACATATCCAGAAGTGGAATTGTGGAATCCTATGGTAATTATGCCTATTTGGGATCCCTTAAGATTTTATATGTAATACATTTTATATATCTGCAAACACATTGTTGGGATATTGATATAATTACATTAAATCTGCAAATCACTTTGGATAGTATCAATATCTCAATAATACTATCTTTTAATCTGTGAACATATAGTCTTCCCATTTTTTAATGTCTTCTGTAATTTATTTCAGTAATGTTCTGTAGTTTTTACTAAATCCTTTGCCTTCTTGGCTAAAATTATTCCTCAATTTGGTGATTTTTGATGTTATTATAAATTGAATGGTTTTTCTCAATTTCCTTTTTGGAATGCTCATTGCTAGTATTTATTTATCTTTAATCTTTATTTTTTCCTTCTTTCTGCTAGTTTTGGGTTTAGTTTGTTCTTTTTTTAGTTTCTTGTGGTGTAAAGCTAGGCTGTTTATTTGAAATCTATTTTCTTAATGTGCTTGCAGCTGCAAATTTCTATTTTAACACTTCCTTCACATCCTCTCATAAGTTTTGGTTTGTTGTGTTTTTATTTGTGTCCGAATATTTTTAAATTTTTTCCTTGTGATTTCTTTCCTGATCCACTGGTTACTTAAAAGCATGTTGTTTAATTTCTACATGCTTGTGAATTGTCCAGGTTTTTGCTGTTCACTTCTAGTTTCATTTCATTGTGATCAGAAATGATATTTTGTATTTCAATTTTTAAATCTGTTAAGATGTCCTATGGCTTAACATACGGTTTTTCTTGGAAAATGCTCCATGTGAACTTGAAAAATTCATATTCTGTTTTTGTTGGGTGGAGTGTACCTTATGTGCCTGCTGGGTCCAGTTGGTCTGCAGTGTTTTTCAAGTCCTATATTCCCCTGTGATCTTTTCCCTGGTTTTCTATCCACTGAAGAAAGTGGAGATATTGAAGTTTTCTTCTATTATTGCAGAGCTATTTTTTCTTCAATCCTGTCAGTGTTTGCTTCATATATTTCACTATTTAGTGCATATGTTTGTAATTGTCACATCTTCTTGGTAAATTGAGCCTTTTATCATCATATTATGTCTTTGTCTCTTTTAACAGTTTTTGACTTAAAGTCTATTTTGTCAATTAGTATAGACATTTCTGCTCTATTACTATTGGCATGGAATATCTTTTTTTTTTCACTTACTTATTATTTTTATTTAGTGGGCTTTTAACATAAAAATACAGATTCTCCCCTCAGAGCAAGACATAACAACCTTCGGATCTTCAGCAGCGCCGGGAGTGGAGGGGGAGGTTGGGGCGCTTGGGAAAGGAACCGAGAGAAGGAAAGGGATAAAGCGCGCGGCCCCCGCACGTCGGAGCCGGCCGAGGGCGGAGGGCGGCGCAGAAGCTGCTGGTTGGGGTGGCGATGGAGGGGAGACCCGGGCGCCGAAAGCAGGGTCCCGGCGGGTGTCAGCGAGCCGGGCTAGAGCGCAGTGTCCGGCGCGGGGTCCTGCGGCGCCCCCTCCCGAGAGCAGAACTCATCAATCACCGCCTGCGGGATGCGCTTCATCATCTCCTTGGGGAAGATGCGCAGCAGCTTCCAGCCCAGGTCCAGCGACTCGAACACCGAGCGGTTCTCGTCGGGGCCCTGGTTGATGAAGTTCTTCTCAAACTTCTGCAGGAATTTCAGGTAGAGCAGGTCCTCGGAGGTGAGCGCCTCCTCCCCAACCACTGCCTTCATGGCCTGCACGCCCTTCCCGATGGCATAGCAGGCGAACAGCTGGTTGGAGACCTCTCCATGGTCCTTTCTTGTCATGCCCTCCCGAATGGCTGACTTCATCAGCCGAGACAGTGAAGGGAGCACGTTGATGGGAGGGTAGACCTGTCTTTTATGAAGCTGTCTGTCCACGTAGATCTGTCCCTCTGTGATGAAGCCCGTCAAATCTGGGATGGGGTGGGTGATACCGTTGTTGGGCATGGTGAGGATGGGGATTTGCGTGATGGATCCGCCCCGACCCTCCACGCGGCCCGCCCTCTCGTAGATGGTGGCCAGGTCTGTGTACATATATCCAGGAAAGCATCGGCGCCCAGGCACCTGCTCTCCAGCACCAGAGACCTCCCGCAAGGCCTCTGCATAAGAACTCATGTCCGTCAGCATGACCAGCACATGCTTCTCACACTGGTAGGCGAGGAATTCAGCAGTGGTGAGTGCCAGGCGCGGGGTGATGATCCGCTCAATCGTGGAGTCATTGGCCAAGTTCAGGAAGAGGCAGGCTTTCCTCATGGTTCCATTCTGCTCAAAGTCAGACTTGAAGAACCTGGCTGTCTCCATGTTCACCCCAATGGCTGCAAAGACGATGGCGAAGTTGTCATCGTGGTAATCCAGCACAGCCTTGGATTTCTTCACCAGCCCCGCCTGGCGGCAGATCCTACTGATACATCTTCAAGGTTCATTGACTCCTTCCTTTTTCATCTAGTTTGCATCTAGTGAGTCTATTCAGTGAATTTTTATTTTTTACAGTTTTAGTTCTAAATTTTCTGTTTAGTTCTCTTTTCAATAGTTGTTTCTCTGTTGAAAATTCATATATTTTACACTTGATCTTAGCCAAAAGGCCAAGAAGCAATGAAAATTCATATATTTTAAAATCATTTCTATTGTATTTTTCTTTACCTCATGGAATGTGGTTATAAGAACTAAAGACTGTGTGTGACAATTCCGAAGTCCAGGTCATCAGAGGATTGACATGTGCTGATTGTCTGTTTCACCCAAGCATTCAGATTTCCATGTTTGTTTTTTTTTTTTGTATGTCACACAATGTTGTAAATATTATGATCCATATGACATAATAGACACAGAAGCAACTGGACAGGGATCCCAGGATCCACACAGTATAATATTTACTATATTGTGGCATTGGATGGAAGTTATGTTTTGTGGATCATGTTATGATCATCTAGAAAATGCTGTTTTTGTTTTAGCAAGTAATAAATCTGGTTAGGTTCAGACTGTAAGCTGTCTTGATCTTCTGTGGGTGGTGTTTAAAATCCCAGTATCCTTCGCAAAGCCTTTGCTATGCTGGTTTGAGTCTGTCTCACTTAGGAATCAGACTTGCATGGGTTCATATGCAGAATTGGAACGTTTTCTTCTCTGCTCTGGAATTGTCTTCTTGCTTTCACTCTTTTTTTTTATTTTCAAGGTGTTGTTTTCCTCAACTCCTGTTTGGCTGGCCACTCCATGGTCATCAAAGCACTGCTCCACAATAAGGGTGTGCCTTTGAGGCCAAAATATTAGTCTGATGCAAAAGCAATCACAGTTTTTGCCATTACTTCTAATACCACGCTCAGGAGATAGATTCCAGCAATTGTGTTTATTTCTCGTAATCTGGGAAACTTATCCTTGTGCAGTTGCTTCTGTGTTTTTTGACACCCTTCCATAATCCACCAGCTTTTGATTAATTTCAGCATGCTCAAGTAGTTCTTTTTCATATTTCATCTAGAGATTTTAGCTGTAATTAGTGGGAGGAGTGGGCAGTAGTTGGCTTGTGCTGCCGTCGTGGAAGGAGAACTCTGCCTGCATTTTTATCTTCATTTTGACATTTACTGGGAGTTTCACTCTGGATAGGCTACTTTAATCTCCATGCCTTGGGACGCCTAGTTGAAAACGGTTAGTAGCAACAGACCTACCTCATTTTTAATTTTTGGCAGTTTTTGGTGAATAAAATATGATCGTGGGCATTAAGCACTAGTAACTGCTCAATCAAAACTAATGCTTATTTCTATTCCTATATTTTCTATAAAACTGAACATTTTGGATTACAATTACTGGAATAAAAAATTTAGAACTAGCTGGGAGCGGTGGCTCACACCTGTAATCCCAGCACTTTGGGAGGCTGAAGCGGGTGGATCACCTTAGGTCAGGAGTTCGAGACCAGCCTGGCCAACATGGTGAAACCCTGTCTCTACTAAAAATAAAAAAATTAGCCAGGTATGATGTCACGTGCCTGTAGTCTCAGCTACTCAGGAGGCTGAGGCAGGAAAATTGTTTGAACCTGGAAGGCAGAGATCGCAGTAAGCCAAGATTGCACCACTGCACTCCAGCCTGGGTGACAGAGTGAGACTCCATCTCAAAAATAAATAAATAAAAAAAAATTTAGAACTAAAAAGTTAGAGATTTGGTGAGTTAGCTAACTTTGACCTTGAAGGAAAGGTCAAAAGGAAGACCAGTATTTGGAAAAGCAAAATATCCCATCCTTTTCTGTAGCCCTTGGAATTACACCCTCAGTCCTTGTCAAGTGATAGCTATGACATTAACCAAAACAGGATGCTGCAAGGACAATCAAGGCAGCTTGCAGGTATGATGTCCATTAAGTATCACATTAAACAAGAATGGGACTCTCTAACAAATAAGAAAACAATTACTGATACAGAACATTGCTTTCCAATGAAATGACCCTGTTTTCGTTTCATTCCTCTGTATAAAACTGTACCAAAAAAAAAAAAAAAAAAAAAAAAGAAACAACTAAGATGATTTGTTTTCTAGTAATATAATTCCTTCCATTTTGCTCCCTTGCTAGATGGCTGAAAAAGAACATGCAGCCCGCTGAAGACCTCAAGTCAGTGATCTGCAGGCTGTCAGCATTTGGCCCAATTCAGTCAGTAACTGTTTGTGGACGTCAAAGTGCTATAGTGGCATTCAAAGACATGACTTCAGCCTGTAATGCTGTGAGTGCTTTTCAAAGTAGGATCCCAGGCAACATGTTCCAGTGTTCCTGGCAACAACGATTCATGTCAAAAGATGTAAGACTCTTACCAAAAACCTATGTGAATTCTTCTTTTAAAATTATTATTTTTTAATTGCATTTTAGGTTTTGGGGTACATGTGAAGAACATGCAAGATTGTTGCATAGGTACATATGTGGCAGTGTGATTTGCTGCCTTCCTCCCCTTCACCTATATCTGGCATTTCTCCCCATGCTATCTCTCCCTGACTCCCCACCACCGCTGTCCCTCCCCCATTCCCCCCCAACAGACCCCAGTGTGTAGTGCTCCCCTCCCTGTGTCCATGTGTTTTCATTGTTCAACACCTGCCTGAGTGAGAACATGCGGTGTTTGATTCTCTGCTCTTGTGTCAGTTTGCTGAGAATCATGGTTTCCAGGTTCATCCATGTCCCTACAAAGGACACGAACTCATCATTTTTGATGGCTGTATAACATTCCATGGTATATATATGCCACATTTTCCCTGTCCAGTCTATCATCGATGGGCATTTGGGTTGGTTCCAGGTCTTTGCTATTGTAAACTGTGCTGCAATGAACATTTGTGTGCATGTGTCCTTATAGTAGAACGATTTATAATCCTTTGGATATATACCCAGTAATGGGATTGCTGGGTCAAAATGAATTTCTATTTCTAGGTCCTTGAGGAATCACCACACTGTCTTCCACAATGGTTGAACTAATTTACACTCCCACCTATGTGAATTCTTAAGCTTGCTTTACAAAATTTTTTATTCATTAGGGCTGTTGTGAAATATCATCACTGTAATTGACATTTTAGCGCTGCAAAAGGCACAATGAAGCTTATTTAGTTCAAGTACTGGAAATCAGAAGAAACAGCACATCCTTCCTTGGACTTGCTTCACTCTGTTATAGTAGTCATCACAGTTTTGATTTTCTGGATAAGAAGTTCACCACTGCATTCATGCATTCATCCGACAGCCATCTTTCCTGAAGGACACTGCATTCTTCAGCGTTAACAGCGTGTAGTTTTTCTTTCTCTCTATTCCTGATTACCTCTTTTGAAATTCTCATGGCCTGGAAAAATAAAACCAACGATAAGGTTAAGAGTTAATCTAGGCTGGGTGTGGTGGCTCATGCCTGTAATACCAGCACTTTGGGAGGCTGAGGTCAGGAGTTTGAGACCAGCCTGGCCAACATGGTGAAACCCCATCTCTACTAAAAACAAAAAAATTGGCCAGTTGTGGCGGCACATGCCTGTGATCCCAGCTACTCAGGAGGCTGAGTCAGGAGAATTGCTTGAACCCGGGAGGCAGAGGTTGCAGTGAGCTGAGATCATGCCATTACACTCCAGCCTGGGTGACAAGAGCAAGACTCTGTCTCAAAAAAAAAGTTAATCTAATAGGAGTGGGATTATTCTATGATTCTGGTTCTTGTTTCTTCCACGTTCATTTAACTACTCCTGTTAACTCTTTTTTATTTGTCTAAGATACAGTCTCACTCTGTTGCCCAGGTGCAGTGGTGCGATTTTGGCTCACTGCAGCCTCTGCCTCCCTGGTTCAAGCAATTCTCCCTGTCTCAGCCTCCTGAGTAGCTGGGAATACAGGCACCCACCACCAGCTAATTTTTGTATTTTTTTTAGTAGAGATGGGGTTTTGTGATGTTGGCCAGGCTGGTCTTGAACTCCTGACCTCAGGTGATCTACCCGCCTTGGCCTCCCAAAGTGTTTGAATTACAGGCATGAGCCACGGTGCCGGGCCCTAATCCTGTTAAATCTTAAGCCACGTGTGTAATATAAGACAGTGCTTCTCAAACTTCAGTGTGCATATAAATCACTTCAGTAAGTGTGGGGCAGGCCTGTGATAATACATTTCCAAAAAGCCCCAGGTAGCTGCTCAAGCTTCTGGTTCTAGGACTACATTTTGAATATCAAGAATATAAAAGCAATCAGTCACTTATTACCACATATAAAAACAAAAATGTTATACGGTAAGACTTTCGTAAAGTAGCTAACCTGCCTGGCTTCTCACCTGGATTCCAAAGTGAAAGTGCTCAGCAAATACTGCCTAGCATCCTGCTCAAGCAACCCCCATAGAGAAGTGCCCCTCTGTCCCTACACAGAAATGGAAGGTATATTTGGTAAGTTTTGTAAAAATCAGTACTGTATTTTTACAAAAAAAATACATTACTACATTTATAACACTACTACAGTTATTTTTTAAGCCCAAATTTAGATGTGCTTAAAGCTAACTAAAGATGTGTCTTGTGTGTGTGTTTTTTTTTTTGAGACAGGGTTTCACCATGTTGGTCAGGCTGCTCTCGAACTCCTGACCTCAGGTAATCTGCTTGCCTCAGTCTCCCAAAGTGCTGGGATTACAGGCATGAGCTGCTGCGCCTGGCCTGTCTTGTGTTTTTATAACTTATTCTCTGAAGGCAAATAAATTTTTCCCTTAGGAAATTATTTTCAAGGTTCTTAAAAGTAAAAGATGAATACTAACATTTGGAGGAAGCTTTGCAAATGCCTTCAGCCTGGTCCAGACTTCTTTCTGAAAAGTGCTGTCAGGAAAAACTTCAGTAACAAGTCCTTGAGCACATGCTTCTCCTGCTGTTAACTTCTTTCCAAAAACAAGCATCTCTGTTGCCTGAAATGAAAAGCAGGAAGCAAGGTTAAGATATTAACTTAATAAAACAAGGCTTCAGTTAACTGCTTTCAGGAGGCATAGAGAGATTTATTAAAGGTCTTTTGAGGTTGCTGTTATTCCCAGAAAGGGAAAAGCTGACAGCCTCAACAGGCAATGGTTTGCAAACTGTGTGCTGAGACTATTGGCAGGCTCCCTGGAAGGTCTGTTAAGGGCTGCTGCTTCCGTGTGTGTCGTTGCTGGAGAGGCAAGACTAGGGGGCCCACGGGAGAAATGACCTGAAGCAGATGCTTGACTCTATAATCCACAGCAGCTATGATTTTTCCATTTTCTACACTATAAACTCCTATTTTAAAGAGGAAAAAAGGAAAGAAAAATCACAGTCATTGAGTTAATCTTTAGAAACTTTTGAAATTCCATTCCCTAGAAACTCTACCCAGTGATCTGGCTCTGAGAGTTTTCTTTACCTGCATTGGTACTCAAATTAGTTCTATTTGACTGAAGGAAAGCAAAGACGTATAGTTAGCTTCCAGAAAAACTGAGGACACTAAGTGGATATCCTCTCTACATTTGCAATTTCTCTTCCAGAAAAGAAACACTTTTATTTATTTATTTTTTTGCGACAAAGAGTCTTGCTCTGGTGCCCAGGCTGGAGTGCAGTGGCACAATCTCACTGCAACCTCCACCTCCTGGGTTCAAATGATTCTCCTGCCTTAGCCTCTTGAGTAACTGGGATTACAAGTGCCTGTCACCACACCTGGCTAATTTTTGTTTTTTGGTTTTTTTTTTTTTTGAGACAGTCTCACTCTTTCACCCAGGCTGGAGTGCAATGGCATGATCTCAGCTCACTGAAACCTCTCCCTCCTGGGTTCAAGTTCTTCTGCCTCAGCTTCCTGGGTAGCTGGGATTACAGGCACACATCACCACGCTCGGCTAATTTTTTGTATTTTTAGTAGAAACGGGGTTTCACCATGTTGGCCAGGCTGGTCTTGAATTCCTGATCTAAAGTGATTCACTGGCCTCGGCCTCCCAAAGTGCTAGGATTACATGCATGGGCCATTGTGCCCAGCCAAGGAATGCTCTAATAGCCAAATGCTCTAAGACTTTTAGAATCAGTTCTGCCCTTTTCCCAAGTTCAATTCAGGGTATGTGATAGCCTAATGAGGTTAAATACATATATATACACGTTTTTAACAAAATCCTAGTAGGCAATGAAAACAGGCTCAAATCCCATTGCCCTACTTTGAGATCTTGAAGAATATTTGCTAAGCCACTCTCAGCTTCTAGTCTTGTCATGATCCCCTTTGAGTCATGCCACAGGGCATGGGCAACTAGGAAACACAGTGAAAGACCCAAGCAGCCACTTAACCAGCCTGGGAGCTAATACACCAGTGAGGCAGGCTGATGGAAGGGCTGCTGCGATTGGGACTGGCTCTGGCAGTGGTGAGCCCCCATGAAACCTCTCGTCTGCTGATACTCGCTATAACTCTGAAAGTGAAGGTGCCATCATATCATATCTCTCCTTAGGGGATACTGGTCATCCATAAAGCAACCGAGTGGCCTCCAAACTCAGGAGACCAAGGGAAGTTAGCACAGCCCTGATCCTTCAAGTGACTAATGCCACACAGCTACAAGGCTGAGGTGTTGTGCTGCTTGCATGCAGCTAGCACTAAGCAATCAGCTGGGAGAAGGATCCCAGTTCTGGGAGGTGCAGAGATAAATTCTAATTTTCCTGCAGAGCAGATACTTCCCATAGCCTGATTCCTCCACAGGTAAAACTCTTAGAGTTGAAGAGCAAATAATTTGCTTATCTTTTGTCCATATTAGGGAAAGAAGGGAGAATATATGAGATTACCCTTCCTTCGTTCTTGAGATGACTCATAAAAATGTTCTATTTTTAAACGTTGCGAAAGTTACCTTGGCTGGGCCCATTATCTTCAGAAAAGTGTAAGAGGAGCATCCTTCTGGACTTTGGCCTAGGTGACTAAACGGTGTATGAAATGTTGCCTGTGGGGGTAGGAGAGAAAAGAAAACCATCTTTTCAATGTGTGACTTTTTTTTTTTTTTTGAGATGGAGTTTCGCTCTTTTGCCCAGGCAGCAGTGAAGTGGTACAATCTTGGCTCACTGCAACCTCTACCCCTGCTGGGTTCAAGCGATTCTCCTACCTCGGCCTCCCGAGTACCTGGGATTACAGGCATGTGCCGCTACACCTAGCTAATTTTTGTATTTTTAGTAGAGATGGGGTTTCGCCGTGTTGGCCAGGCTGGTCTCAAACTGACCTCTAGTGATCCACCTGCCTCAGCCTCCCAAAGTGCTAGGATTACAGGCATGAGCCACTGCACCCAGCATCATGTGTGATTTTAAAAAATCATGATTTGCTTCCCAGCATCATGTGTGATTTTAAAAAATCATGATTTGTTTATAACTTCACAATGCTTAATAAAATTTATTTTAAGAGTATGTGCTTAATATGCACACACAATTCACCATTTAAAAGTGCCTAATTGGATGAGTTTTAACAAATACAGTTATATAGCTACCACTGATACTGAGATGCAGAACATTTCCACAACCCCAAAAGGTTCCCTAGGCCCTTCAGTAGCCAGTCCCTCCCTCCCACCGAAAGCAGCTGCTAATCTGTTTTCTGTCCCTACAGTTTTGACTTTTATAGAATGTTGTATAAGTGGAATCCTACATTCTGTAGCCTTTTGAGTGTGACTTCTGAAAGTCACCATGCTGTTGTATATATTAGCAGTTTGTTATGAAGAAGGCTGCTATGAAAAACAAGTTGAACACCTTAAATATATATAGTCGTGTGTTGCTTAACAATGGAGGTATGTTCTGAGAAATACATAATTAGGCAATTTTGTCATTGTGCAAATATCATGGAGTATACTTGGATGGTACAGCCTACTGCACATCTTGCTATGTGGTAGAACCTACTGCTTCCAAGTTACCAACTTGCACAGCATGTTTCTATACTTAATACTCTAGGCAGTTGTAACAAGTGGCATTTGTGTATCTAAACATATTAAACATAGAAAAGGTAGGCTGGGTGTGGTGGCTCATGTCTGTAATCCCAGCACTTTGGGAGGCTGAGGTGGGCAGATCACCTGAGGTCAGGAGTTCGAGACCAGCCTGGCCAACATGGTGAAACCCTGTCTCTAGTAGAAATACAAAAATTGGCCTGGCATGGTGGTATCCACCTGTAGTCCCAGCTACTCGGGAGGCTGAGGCACAAGAATTACCTGAACCTGGAAGAGGAGGTTGCAGTGAGCCAAGATCGTGCCACTGCACTCCAGCCTGGGTGACAGAGTGATACTTCATCTCAATTAAAAAAAAAAAAAAGAATAGAAAAGATATAGTAAAATATGGTATATCTTAGGGGACCACCATTGTACATGCAGTCTGTCATTGACTAAAATGTTATGTAGCACCCGACTTTACAATTCTTATTTGTCAATTATACCACAATGAAACTGAAAAAAAAATTAAAAATAAAACTATTCAGATAATTTTAACAAAAAGGTAATTAGGAACATTTGTGTGCAGGTCTCTGGGTGAACATGTTTTCAGTTATCACAGGTAAATACCTAAGTGGTTGAATAGCTGGATTGTGTGGTAAAGGTATATTTAACTTAGAAACTGCTCAACTCTTTTCTAGAGTGGTTGTACCATTTGACATTGCCACCAGCAATGTATGAAAGTTTCGATTGCTCCACATCCTCACTAAACCTAGCTATTAAAAGTTTTTTTCATTTTAACCCTGCTAGTAGGTGTGTAGTGGGGTCTCACTGTGGTTTTAATTTACATGTCCCTAACAATTAGTAATATTGAGTCTCGTATCATGTACTTATTAGACATATTTATATCTTCTTTGGTGAAGCAACTGTTAAGATATTTTGTCCATTATTTTTTAAGTTAGGGTGTTTACCTTCTTATTATCTAGTTGTAAGATACACATTCAGGTTGCAAGTCTTTTATTAGATGAGTGTGAGGCCAATCTTTTCTCCTGGTCTGTGGCTTATCTTTTCATTTCCTCAATGGTTTCTCTCATATGATTTTAGTAGCCCTTTACATTTCATTTTTTTGGTGGCCTATCCATTCCTCACCATTGCCCATTTTTATATTAGCTTGTTGCTCTATTGCTTTATAGACAAACTTCAAAACATACTGTAGAGAGATCAGCCTTTGCTACATGAGTTGAAAAATTGTTTCCTCAATCTGTCATTTGTCTTGATTTTGCCCCAGTGGTTTTTTGATTGGCTTTAACTACTGGAATTAATTCAGTATTGGTTATTTAGTATATTGTCATTTTTAGTTTTCTGTTGTTGTTACATTTAAGACATATTTTTCTGTTTCTTTTCTTTTTCTTTTTTTCTTTTCCCAGGCTGGAGTGCAATGGCGCGATCTCGGCTCACCGCAACATCTGCCTCCTGGGTTCAGGCAATTCTCCTGCCTCAGCCTCCTGAGTAGCTGGGATTACAGGCACACGCCACCATTCCCAGCTAATTTTTTGTATTTTTAGTAGAGACGGGGTTTCACCATGTTGACCAGGATGGTCTCGATCTCTTGACCTCGTGATCCACCCGCCTCGGCCTCCCAAAGTGCTGGGATTACAGGCGTGAGCCACCGCGCCTGGCCATTTTTCTGTTTCTTGATGAATAAATTATGAAAGCATGTTAATTTAAAATTTACAATATGTAAAAGAATATTTAGATTTCATTTCCTATAATTAGACACGGTGTTATTTTTAATGCATAACTGTTAGAAGATGTATAATATATGCAGCATAGAAATAAAAATTTTAATCAAAATAGTAAAAAAAGTTTTTGTTAATGTCATATATCTTTTTTTTATCCAAAAGAAAACTTACTCAAAAAAATGTACCCAGAAGACACAGCCGAAGGAATATAAGCAGGAAACTGAGAAAACTGCCAACAGCAGCTAAAGGGACACAAACAGGTACATGCAAAGTTGCCAATAAGAGGCATTTAAAATGCTTATTTTCAGAAAGAAAACAGTAGATGGAGTTAAGGGCTTAGGCTCTGGGATCAGAATACTTAGTGACTTTGGGAAACTTTCTTATCTTCTCTGTGTCATGGTTTTCTCATTTGTAAAATGGGAACCAGTCTTTCTTTCTTTTTTTTTTTTTTTTAATTGAGATGGAGTATCCCTCTTGTTGCCCAGCCTTGAGTGCAGTGGCACGATCTCAGCTCATTGCAACCTCTGCCTCCCGGGTTCAAGTGATTCTCCTGCCTCAGCCTCCCTAGTAGCTGTGATTACAGGAGTATGCTACCACATCCAGCTCATTTTTGTATTTCTAGTAGAGACAGGGTTTCACCACGTTGGCCAGGCTGGTCTTGAACGTCCAACATCAGGTGATCCACCTGCCTCAGCCACTCAAAGTGCCAGGATTACAGGAGTGAACCACCATGCCCCGCTGAGTCCTCATGTAGGACTGCTGTGTACATTATGTGAATATGTGTGTGTGCATATATTTATAATATCTATAATACATATTAACAGAGTGTCTCAACAGTAAGCACTCAAAGATTTGTTATTATGATTTATACCTTTTTCTTAACTCATACAAGAAATGTATCATTTGCTGACAGAGCTAATAGGCATTATTAACCATTGCCCACATTAAAAAATAGATAAAATGTACTGATTAATATTTTGGTTATATGGGTTACATATTAACCCACCATTTAATATGCTATTTATTCATGAAGCCAATAATGATAAATCCTATAAAAACAATTTTTTTCTACAGCCTTTTCTTTTAGCTTATTTCCTTTATTTTATTTATTTATTTATTTTTTGAGATGGAGTCTTGCTCAATTGCCCAGGCTGGAGTGCAGTGGTGCGATCTCTGCTTACGGCAACCTCTACCTCCTGGTTTAAGTGATTCTCCTGCCTCAGCCTCCAATGTCACTGGGATTACAGGCGGCTGCCACCAAGCCCAGCTAATTTTTGTATTTTTAGTAGTGACAATGTTTCACCATGTTGGCCAAGCTGGTCTTGAACTCCTGACCTCAGGTGATCTGCCCACCTCAATTTACTTTATTTTAAATTGATGCTTGGTTTATTTGGTTGGGTAAACTTTTATCAGTAGATGCTATTTGACAAATAAATTTTACTTTGGGCCAAATTTTTTAGCATTTTATATACATATATATGTATGTATATATGCAATATACATCCAATTTTAGGTCAGGAACCATTGACCCAGACCCTGTTAAAAGCAGGTCAATGCCTAATCAGTCATCTAACACACAGAATGTGAATGAAGACACTAATGTCTGCCTTTGAACATAAACCTCCATCTACAAAGGTTGGGCAGCCTGGCACCTAGAATCTCATTTGCTATTTTTATGGGAAAATTATTCATAAGAATTAGGTCTGTCAGTGCATCCAATCTGGTTCAGTGGAATCCAGCAAAAGAAAATTCAAAGAATTAAGGACGCTAAAATACGGTCCTATCTATTGGTGGGGAAAGTATCTCTAAACAAAACTAGAAATCTCTTCAGTGGTAAAAACCCTATGTTTCCTAGAAGGCTGTAATCAGTACATTTTACCATCACATAAGCATAAGTCACTTGAACAATCTGATAACCCTAAAGGTGGTTATTAGGTGCTTGAAATGATAAAAATTGGAAACAGCCTAGGGTCCAGCAGTCAGGAACTGGTTAAACAAGATAAGTTAATAACACAAATGTTAGGACTGGTTACCTCTAGGTGGTAAGGAGTGATTTTTATCTTGCAGCTTTTCTTGGTACTTTTTCCTATCTTTCAAAATTTTATCTTGCACTATGACATAGATATTAATATTATAGTAAAAATCAAAACTAAAATCTATATAATGCAATGGTGAACACAAGGCTGAATTGTGTTCTGGGCGAGGAACTTCTCAGAGCTTCAGTTTCCTTATCGGCAAAGGAGGGAGTGAGAGTAGATAATGCTCACAGTTCCTTCTTATTCTAAAATTCTAATCCATTTACTTAGAAAAAAGGATCAAATAATCTCCACTTGCACAACCTGCAAATATGCCATTCCTCCCTCCCATAACACATTTTCAAGTGTCTCCTGAGTATTTCAGAGTGATATGAAAACTGAATACCTATTGTGGAATTTGATTAGAAACTGGAATAATTGGAGTTGGAACAGTGTTCACAACAAAATGCAAGTTAATAATGAAGGAAAAATAAAATCAGTCAAATTAGACTAACGCTTTGAGAAAATCTAAATTCAGTTAATTTTACTGCAAACCACATGTAATCTGCTTATGACTGGCAACGCTGAAGGAGGATTCAAAGTCTCTCGGCTCGCTCTGCTTGCCTGACCTCTTGCTTTCTGGGAGCTGACTTACCCTGTCAGATGCATACACAGCATCAAATAGCCCGAGGATGGTGACAGAGATGCCGACAGCTGGACCATTGACCACTGCAATCAGAGGCTTAGGAAAATCTATAAAACAGCCCACAAATTCCCTATAGAAATGGAAACACAAAATCATTAAATGTGCCAAAGCAGCATGACTGAAGCATGGGCAAGGCAGTCTGACTCTGAGATAACAAAGGTTTCTGGCCGGCTGGGTATTTCCACAGCCACCATGGGCAGTGCCTCCCTGTCCTGCCACTTCTCTGGTCTTCCACACCAGATTCATCCAGGACATCCATTTGAATGGCGGTGGATGAAAAACCAAACAGGGAGACCTACGGGTCAACCCTGGGTCAAATCTTGTATTCTGGGCTGTGAGTTTGGGCCGGAAACCAGCCACAGTCTTAGAGATTAGGGTGGGTGACTGAGCACACACTGGAATATTACAGCAAGTGAGAATTATAGATGTGGCAGGAATAAAGCCTTCATGACCTCCTCCCGTGTTTTATAAGGTTCCTCCAAGTCTCCTACTTTCAGCATTCATGGCAATCGTCCATTCCTCTGGCTGATGAGAGTTTGCTAAATTCCTCTGTCTTAAAGCAAGATAATTGTGTTTACAACTATAGCTAACTTTTATGTTTTCCAGTCAAATCTCATGAGACCAGCAGGATGAAAAGGTAACAGAGGTCAAAGAGAGAGAATGAATGCCCACCTATGGATACAGGCAGTTTGGAGAAATATGCTTGTTCAAAGTCACAATTAATTGGATCGACACAGAGAAATAGATATTTCACGTCTGCTCAACTAAATTCCACTTTGATGACTAAGAATGGGCCCTCTGAGACCAGACAAATGTCAATTACTCTTACCTCAGTAAAATGGCACTATTTTTAGCTTTCTCCTCTACTCCACCAGGGGGAATATCAGTGAAGTTAGTCAGATCGTTCCCACTACTGTAATAGTCCCCATTTCCTATAAATAATAAAATCAACAGATCCCTCATTCATTCATTCTATAGTTCTTGAGTATCTACTGCATGTCAAGCTCTATGATTAGGCATGGGAAATACATTGGAGAACCAGCGATGGTTCTTGCCCTAACTTACAAACTAGTGAGTATGCTGGACGCTGATCTATAAAAACACACAGATAAATGTAGCTAATGCAACTGCTGAAATAGAGGAGAGGTGCATCATCAAATGAGGGTAGGTACTGGAGGTGGGGGTTGGTCTAATCAGGGAGTTCAGGAGGGGATTTTCCCAAGGAAGGGGCAACTGAATTGAGATCTGAAGGAGAGACCAGGTTGGCTAGAAAAAAGAGGGCTAGGAAGAACAGTTCACACCAAGGAACAGCCTGTGCAAAGGCTCTTTGGAGAGGTTATCCCCAGTGTACATGAAATAAGAGCCATTGTGCATGACTCAGAGAAAGCCAGGGGGAAGTTGGTGCAAGATAAGGACCAGCAGATTAGACCTGATGGGGCTTTGTAGATCCCATGAGGAAGTTTTTTCTTTATTCTCAGAGCCACTGAAAGTGTGTATCTGAATGTGTGTGTGTGTTTAATTAAAGAATAATTTATATACAACAAAACAACCAGCTTTTAAATGTTCATTTAGAGGAATTTTGATAATTTTAAATGTCCACAAGATCACCATCCAAAACAAGACACAGAACATCTCCATTACTCTAGAGGTTTCCTGTAGGCTCCTTTCTAGCCATACTATCCCACCTGCCCCAAGGCAATCACCTGACTTCAATTTCCACAGATAAGAACTTTTGTCTACTGTAGAACTTCCTATGAATAGACTTATACAATATGTACACTCCTGTCATTATTTTGCTGAACTGTGTTTTTTTTTGTTTTTTTTTTTGAGACGGAGTTTCGCTCTTGTTACTCAGGCTGGAGTGCAATGGCGCGATCTCGGCTCACTGCAACCTGCGCCTCCTGGGTTCAGGCAATTCTCCTGCCTCAGCCTCCTGAGTAGCTGGGGATTACAGGCACGTGCCACCATGCCCAGCTGATTTTTTGTATTTTTAGTAGAGACAGGGTTTCACCATGTTGACCAGGATGGTCTCGATCTCTTGACCTCGTGATCCACCTGCCTCAGCCTCCCAAAGTGCTGGGATTACAGGCTTGAGCCACTGCGCCTGGCAGCTGAACTGTGTTTTAAAGATGCATCCATATTCTTGTATCATTTATTCCACTGTATTGCTGAGTATTCCGCTGTATAAATAGTCAACAATTAATTTATTCAGACATATGTTTTTGAATTTTATTTTTTTTACTTTTTTTAACCGCAGTTACTTTTGGAATCCATTTGTTTTTGAACATTTGAGTTGTTTTCTGGTTTTGGCAATTATAAATCAGGTTACCATGACTGCTCCTATGAAAGTCTTTTTGTGGATATATGTATTTTAATTTATGTTGGGTAATTGCGAAGGAGTGGATATCTGTGTTTCTTACATGTTTTGTATATTTATAAATTGGAGTATAACAGTACTGGACAAAAAAAATTTTTTTTTGAGACGAAGTCTCACTCTGTCGCCCAGGGTAGAGTACAGTGGCACAATCTCAGCTCACTGTAACCTCCACCTCCTAGGTTCAAGCCATTCTCCTGCCTCAGCCTCCTGAGTAGCTCTGATTGCAGGCATGTGTCACCAAACCCAGCTAATTTTTGTATTTTTAGTAGAAATGAGGTTTCACCATGTTGGTTAGGCTGGTCTCGAACTCCTGACCTCGTGATCTGCCTGCCATGGCCTCCCAATCTTGGAGCTTTTAAACTCAATTTCCTATCTATTAAGAGACCTCCTCAAAATAGAAATATAATTAGGACGTCTGAGAAAATGTCTTACCTGTTAAAACAGTGATGGATGAGTCATCCTTGCTTGCAGCTTTAAGTGCACGCATAATTTCATGATACATCTGTGTAATGGGAAGTCAAAGAAAAGAACTCTGAACACAGGAATCATTAACCAGTGGACTCACTAAATGTTAGGCTGAAAGCCTGCTCTCAGCAAAGTGCCTAACATTTATTTTGGTTGTATTTTATAACCAAAACAGTGGACCAATACACCAAAAATAATTTTCATTCCTTTTACGATTACTTGGTGCATACTATGTACCTGGTGCTATGGTAGGAGCTGGCGGCTATAAACCACTTTTTTTCCAAAAGGGAACAAGAAAGACATAGTCCTTGAGCTTTTGGAATTAACAGAGGACAACAATGTTCAAATGAGGTGGGGGATGGAACGTTCGAAGCAGCAGGGAACTCAAGAGGAGGTGCTGAGGCTTATCTAGGGTGGGCCGAGTGGGAGGTGGTCAGAGAGAACTTTCCATAAAACAACATCTCTGTTGTGACCTCAAGGAAGTCCCTGGCAGTCTGGGGACCGTAAGTGACTACCAAAAGGCTGGACTTTTCAAGACACTGCAATGGTATTCAAGGAAGGTGACTCAAAATTTTAAATCAGCAACACTTCTGAAAATCTTGGATATGCAGCTATATAGCTTTTAATGCATTTAAAACAGGTGCAATTTTGATTGAAATCTTAGATGAGATTTCAATGAGGGAAGAATGATGAAGAGGGCTGATACTTATAGATACAAATATACTGGAAAACAAACATGGACTTTACATAAAACAGCTGGCCCTCTGTATCCACAGGTTCTATATCCATGGATTCTACCAATCACAGATCAAAAAAATCTGGAAAAGAATTCTCTATTTACACTGAACATGTACTTTTTTTCTTATCATTAGTCCCTAAACAATACACTAAAACAACTATTTAACATAGCATTTACATTATGTTCAGTATTATAAGTACTCTAGAGATAATTTAAAGTATATGGGAGTTTATAGAAAGGTTATATGCAAATATTATGCCTTTTTATGAAGGACTTCAGGTTCTGAGGATGTTGGTGTCCATAAGGAGGTCCTGGAACCAATTCCCATTGGGTACAGAGGGATGACTGTGTATAAATAAGCATCTAAGCATTTCTCTTGATGGAAGTGACAAGAAACTCATTCCACCATTATTATAGTTGTGATAACACAACACAGCAGGGCGACTGGCGAGACCAGGATTAGGAGACAGATTATCAGGGTTTCTTTACTTTTTTTTTTTTTTTTTTTGAGATGGAGTCTTGCTGCAGGATCCAGGCTAGAGTGGAATGGCGTGATCTTGGCTCAACCTCCACCTCCTGCCCCAGCCTCCTGAGTAGCTGTGACTACATCCGTGTACCACCACGCCTAGCTAATTTTTTTGTGTTTTTATTATAGACAGGGTTTCACCATATTGGCCAGGCTGGTCTTGAACTCCAACCTCAAGTGATCTGCCCACCTTGGCCTCCAAATTGCTGGAATTGCAGGTGTGAGCCACCATGCCCGACTATCAGGGTTTCAATTTAGGTTTTGCTGTTTATTTGTTAGGTAAAGTTGAGCAAGTTACTTCTTAAACTAATTATTTTATTGTTGAGTAATGACAACAATAGGCTCCTTATGAGAATTAAATAAACCTCTGTGTGGAGAGTGCTGGCACTCATTAGGCACTCTGTACAGAATAGCTATTATTACCATGTTTGTAGAGAAATGAGTCAGGGGAAAGTGGAAACGAAGTTTGAGAATTAAATGCTTTATTAGTTGAATGACATATCCCACTTCATGAAATTCTGAAGATGATTTTAAAGTGAGTATGCTCTTTCTGCTACAATGGAGATGATGATGATGATTGTTACTTGAGACCGAGTTTCCCTCCTGTTGCCCAGGCTGGAGTGCAATGTACGATCTCAACTCACTGCAACCTCCACCTCCTGGGTTCAAGCGATTCTCCTGCATCAGCCTCCTCAGTAGCTGGGACTATAGGCATGTGTCACTATGCCCAGGTAATTCTGTATTTTTAGTAGAGATAGGGTTTCTCCATGTTGGTCAGGCTGGTCTCAAACTCCCGAACTCAGGTGATCTGCCTGCTTCGGCCTCCCAAAGTGCTGGGATTACAGGTGTGAGCCACCACACCCGGCATCACAGGGGCGATTATTAACCCAGTGGTCACTGTCCTTTCAAAATTTTAGTGCCAGTTGAGCACCAAGCATCCAATTCTCTATACTTTTTTTTCAAGGAGAAGGGGCTAAAGTGGTTATTGTCATTCTAATTCAATGAGGGATTTAAATTCTAAAGTTGCCGAGTGAAGCAGCTACTTTAAAGCAGAGTTGGGTTATGATTTGTTTAAGGGGAAGTCCTTCTTCCCTTTCTCCCTCTACTAATAAAACATGAAGCCCCCAGGCAAGCAGAAAGACCTACTTTCTAGTCTAAGTGACTTGAAGATACTTCTGGGAGCAGTCTACACCAACCTTAGAGGGCTTCTATGCAAATTCTCTCATAGCAACATGTTTCATTTATATTAATTTATTTGTGCTTCCATTATTAGGAAAGTCACAGTGCCTTTTGGGTATATCAGAACCTACCTGAAGTTCGTAAACTATAAACAATGAATACTCAACTCTGTTGTATGAAGTAGCCACAATTACCAACCTTCCTGCAGAAATCAAACAAGTGATACGATAAAATAGGAATGATGCTGAAACTCTACAGCTTTTGTATGAAACACATAGAAGAAGAAAAGAAAAACAAGACAAACTCCAAGGGCAGGTAATATTACCTCAACGTTTATGGCATTTTTCTTTGCAGGCCGATTTAATGTGATCTTTGTGATGCCATCTTCGGAGGTCACCATCAGAGTTTCATATCCAGTTGATTTCCTGTCTGTTCCAGGCTCCACCTGACTAGAGGATTCCAATGACGAACTCAAACTGGACACCAAATCCACATAGTTCTGCCGAGCAGTTTCCTGACGGGAAGATGACAAACAGCCTTAGCCCATGGTCAACGAATAAGCGCTTTGAGAAAGTTACTATACTAATAAATAGCACCTTGCAATGAAGAATAGACGCACATCAAGACCTCGAAGGCTCCATTTATAACGGCTTAATGAGAAGCACCAAACTTCTTTAGAAATACAGCAAATAAAAGCAGAGTAACTAGTAAATTCACCTTTGGCAGGCTGCCAAGGGTATTCCACGCATCCCATTTGGCCTTGTTGATCAAGTCAAATACACCTGGTTTGGGCATATTACAAGGTCCTTCAGTGGCCTGTGAAAAGGAGAGGGGCAATTAATGGTCAAATATCCATGTAAACTGAAGCCCTAAATATTCAAGATCCATAAAATCCACAGGCACATGAATGTTTTCCCCAAATCCTTTCCTTTCTCAGTACTTAAATTGATCTGTATTTTCCCCTCCAGTCTCTTTGATGTTGTTGGTGAAAATGCACAAACAACAGAAAAAAGACTGGAAATAAATTATAACTGTCTATGAAAATAATGCTGGATAAAGGTTTTGGGAAAGTACTTTCTAAAAAAATCTAACGGTTCATTAGTTTTATATTTTCCACAATCAATCAAAATATTCAAGCAAACAATCTTTAAAGGGAAGTAGCCAACAAATATTTGGAAAGGCACAGCATATTCCAAAAGCCCATCTGAAAGTACAAAAAAACACCACGAATTCAGTGTGCACTTTTGGTACCTAGGCAACAAAACAGTAGCTGACGCCTCAGCAAGGGTGGGGGCTGTCAGAGCCACTGGTCCTTAGGAAACCTGACTGAAGAACACGTAAGTAAAAGCAAAAAGCAATTAAATTTTATTTTTGAGGCCAGGTGGAGTGGGTGTTTTGATATGGAAAAATATCCCACTCACCACTTCTTAGAAAAGGCAATTTAAAATTCCACTTAAAATGTTTAAAATTTTATAATACAGTTGGCTAAAAGAGGAAAGAAGAAAGTCTTTGAAAAACAGGCTGGGTGCAATGGCTCACACCTGTAATCCTAGCACTTTGGGAGGCCAGGACTAGTGGATCACCGGAGGTCAGGAGTTCGAGACCAGCCTGACCAATATGATGAAACCCTGTCTCTACTAAAAATACAAAAATTAGCCGAGTATAGTGGTGGACGCCTGTAATCCCAGCTACTTGTGAGGCTGAGGCAGAAGGATTGCTTGAACCTGGGAGGCAGAGGTTGCAGTGAGCTGAGATGGTGCCACTGCACTCCAGCCTGGGCCACAAAGTGAAATGTTGTCTTAAAAAAGAAGAAAAAAAAAGGGCAGAAAAGGGGCCTATGAATTTCTATAGACAGAGATAGTGTCACCTGGCAAGAGTCAGTCAGCCTAAAAGTTAGAGGGGACACAGCCCACAGGATAAGGGCTTGTCCTCAATGCTCACACCAACTGCAAGGCTGGAGGGGCCCCAGGACCACCCTCAGGTGCAATAATTTGCTAGAAAGACACCCAGAACTCATTGCAAGCTGTTAAATGCACAGATAATGGTTTATTAAGGGAAAGGATAGATATTAAAATCAGTCGTTGGAGGACACACACAGGATGGAGTCTGGGGCAGTAGCAAATGTGGAGTTTCCTTGTCCTCTCCCCATGGAGTCAGGACAGGACCCCTCTCCCAGAATTGATGTGACAATACACAGGGAGTCCTGCCAACCAGAGACACTCAGTTCATCCAGTCTCAGTGTCCAGAGTTTTTAGTGGGGCTCCATTACCTGTGTATGATTGCGTAACCTGAAGCCCCCACCCTAAACATCGTGAAGACAATCCAGGCAAACAAAGACACTCCTATCAGGTTTTAGAGATTAACTTCCCAGAAGCTGAGGGAAAACCCACACCTCTTTTGGGGCAAGGTTAAATTTTTTACGATACATACCCATATGAAAGAGAAACTCATACCCATCATAAAACAGCAAAATACATAACATAAAACAGAAAAATAGGAGCCCAGAGAGGCAGACGTGACAGGGAAGGCTTTGGCATTGGAACTTAAAAGCTTCCATTTCTAAATTTTGTTACAAAAATTTCCAAACATTGCAAAATAGACTATTATAATGAATTCCCAATACTCATCCCCCGAGTTCAACAATTATCAAATTGCCTTGCTTACTTCATCTATCCTTTTCTTTTTTTTTTTTCTTTTTGAGACGGAGTCTCACTCTGTCACCCAGGATGGAGTGCAGTGGTACAATTACTCACTGCAACCTCCACCTCCGAGGTTCAAGCAATTCTTCCACCTCAGCTTCCCAAGTAGTTGGGATTACAGGCATGTGCCACCATGCTCAGCTAAATTTTGTATTTTTAGTACAGACAGAGCTTCACCATGTTGGCCAGGCTGGTCTCAAACTCCTGACCTCAAGGGATCAACCCACCTCAGCCTCCCAAAGTGCTGGAATTAGGTGTGAGCCACCATGCCTGGCCTCATCTGTCCTTTTCTTTCTTTTTGTAATTAGAGAACTTCAACCATCCATGCTATTTCACCTCTATATCCTTAGTACCCATTTCTTAAAAATATCAACATTTATGTAACCTTGACACCATTAACAATGATTTCTAGGCATCTTCTCATACTCTGTCCTTATTCAAAACTTCCCCAATTGTCTTAAAAATACCTTTTGCAATTGATTTATTCTAATCAAGAGCCAAGTAAGGTCTACAAATGCGAATATTGTATTTCATAAGTCTCTTTTACTCTGGCATGACACAGAGGAGTTACTTTATGAATAGTATTTCAAGATAATATAAAAAAATGACATATATATATATACTCTTCAGAGAAGAGGGAGCAAGACAAACCCAAAATATTAAGGCGACATTTTAGTAAACACACAGTGTATCTATTTAAGGAGTCATTTGCCCAACATTCTTTAAATAATGTCAGACAGGAGGCATTTATTTACCTGCTTATATAGTGCGTAGAGTTTTAGCTTCACTTCGTTTCCTGGATCCTTCTTCAAGAGTTTCACCTGATTCATTGCATTTTCAAAGTCCTTCTGACTGGCTCTCATTGCTGTTCTATTCATGTGCAGCTGAACTACTGGGAAACTAATGACCTGCAGATGACTACAATGAGGCACACTGATTTCTACTTGTTCCCAACCCTCACATTTCTGCAGCCTGATTTCTAATTGTTCCCAGCCCATACATAGCAAAATTCCATGTTTGTCCGTAAATGTTTTCTTTATACCTGCCCCAGCAAACTGGCTGCAAATAATTGGCTGTAAGGATTTCAAGACAAGAAATCAATACAGAAGCTAACGGTAAATAAAATAAATAAATAAAGGGAAAAGTAAATAACCATCCAGTGAGGTATTTGTAAGCAATTAAAGATAAAAGCAGCCAGAACAGGAATGACTATGTACATTTTGCCATAGACAGAAGTAAATGAAGAGCATGCAAGATAGTGAACAGCTAAGCGCACAGAAATCAGCACAGTGTCCCAAAGTCCTAAAACAGCTTCTGCACTCACTGCTAAACAAGCCATAAACTAATATCAGGTCAATTTTTCCCTCTTTGCTGGCAAAACCGGTGTTCCAACATGGACACAGGTGGAAGGCGGGGAGAATGGCTGAACATACAAGAAATGTTCAAAAGGACATATGTACAGATGCTGGCATTCCAGACAGAGCCGCAGCCTTCTCAGCAGGTGGGAGGGAATCTACCCGCAGCGCAAGGGAGTCAGTGAAGCGGGCTCAGCAGGCTTGTCCCGTTCTGTGGGTATGTTCAACCAGCCAGCCAGGAGCAGAGCAGAAACAGCAAGCACCGCGGGGTGATCAGCACGTTTTTAAGCACACACAGTGAGCGGGGGTGGGGTGGCAAACTTCAAAGGACTCAGGCCACAAGCAAAACATGGATGTTCACGACGATGACCCTGAATAATGGAGTTAATGGCATCAAAGATGATTAAAATAATACAGGTTACAAAGCCCAAACCTAACATGTATCACTCCCCAAACACAATTACGTAACTCGAAAATGGTACAATGAACTCTAGGTTCAAACCTTGGAGTTAATAATTGATTCAGTAAGATCAGTCTACAGTAAGTTTTTTTTTCTACATTTTTTAAAGACGGGGTTTCACCATGTTGGTCAGGCTGGTCTTGAACTCCCGGCCTCAGGTGATCCGCCCGCCTTGGCCTCCCAAGTGCTTGGATTACAGGCGTGAGCCACCACGCACAGCCTACAGTAAGTTTTATATTAAACTGCCTTTCTGTAAAGGGAAAAACTGCAACCTACATGACAAATTCCAAGTAGAAAACGAAAGTAAAATTTAAAGTGTCCACAGAAAGCCGAAATGTGCAAGTTTCCACAAAATGTGGAACAAATTTATTTATTTATTTATTTATTTATTTATTTATTTATTTACTTATTTTGAGACGGAGTTTCGCTCTTGTTACCCAGGCTGGAGTGCAATGGCGCGATCTCGCTCACCGCAACCTCCGCCTTCTGGGTTCAGGCAATTCTCCTGCCTCAGCCTCCTGAGTAGCTGGGATTACAGGCACGTGCCACCATGCCCCGCTAATATTTTATATTTTTAGTAGAGACGGGGTTTCACCATGTTGACCAGGACGGTCTCGATCTCTTGACCTAGTGATCCACCCGCCTTGGCCTCCCAAAGTGCTGGGACTAAAGGCGTGAGCCACCGCGCCCAGCCACAAATTTATTTTTAAATAATGCGTGAGTTTTAAAAACAAATTGCAAAAACACGACCATATAAGAAAATACCTAAAGTCTGGAAAATCACTTATAATTCCACCACTTCAAGGCCACCATCGTGTTCCGGTTTTGTTCCCTATACACAGATTCCTGCTGGGTTCCCGGCATCCCAGGGAGGTGGAGCGCGCTTCTCAGCAGTCACTGCGCACACGGCCACTTCGCTTCATTGCATACGTGTTCTCCAAAAAGCAAAGAGCGTGAGTCCACACGGGTGATAACTGCTTACGTTTACCTCACTTTCAGCAAGTAACGCTTTGCACCCCAGAAGCATCCGGCTGGGAAGTGCAGGCCCGGGCGCCGGAGGAAGCACTGTGCCCAGCGGGGGCGGCTCAAGGGCCCGCAGTCCGGCCCCAAGAGGATGGGAGCGCTGCGCGGACGCCGGCGGAGACTTTGGGGACTGGGGACAGGCAGCCGCAGCCCTGACCTCACGACGCGTCCCTCCTGACCACTCTGGGCCCAGCGGTGCAGGAGGGCGCGCGCGTTAGGTGGTCACTCCAGCGAACTCTCGCTGGAAAACCGGCAAAACAAAATTCTGTTGCCACCCAGACAAGATAACAGGGAGCGGGGGCTCCCACCGGCGGCGACCTTCGCCTGGACAGCCGTCTCCTGTGGGCGACCTTGGGCCGGCGGCCGGGGCTCCAAGCTTACCTCGGACACGAACGCTGCGCCAGTCTCCAGGCCGCGTTCGCCATGTCTAGCCCCGACCTTGGGCGTCCGGGGCTCCAAGGCGGCGGGACTCGGGGGCGGGGACGGGGTTCGGGGGCGGGGCCGGGAGTCTGGGACTGCCGGGGCTCGGGGGTGGGGTCGGGCGGAGAACGGCCAGGGTTGAGGGCGGGGCCAGGCTGAAATCGAAGCCGGAACCTGAGGCGGGGCGTGGGCGGGGCCGGGGCTCTAGGCGGTTAGGAGGCGGGGCTGAGATGCGGGGGCGGGGCTGAGATGCGGGGGCGGGGCCGGAGCGGCGCCGGGTGTCGCCCGCGAGTGGAAGAAGGGCGCGGGCACCGGGACAGTGACCCGGGAAGGACCTGAGCGCCGCGTGGGGCAGGGCACAAATGCTTCCCGGCCTGCCTCCGAGGATCTGCGAGCTGGAGGCCCGGCTGCTCCCTCGGGCGGACCTCAGCTCTGCGAACTCTGCGGCTGCCAGAGCTCGGAGCCCCCTGCCCGGGGCCCTGGGGAACCTGGCGAGGAGGGGTCTCTGCGTCCTGAGGGCCAGCCGTGAGCCGGGAGGTGGGATAACAATTGAGGGCGTGTGCTTAAAAGCGGCTGTGTCATGCACCCCCAAATCGAAGGCTTGCAGACCTGGTAGGACGCCGGAGGATCCGAAGTAATTTCTGAGATATCCAACTTTTTTAGTGTCAGAGTTAGTGGATAGTTTTGAGTTCTGCTGAGGCATTTGCAAAGTATTTTCTTTGGGGAAGAATTCTTAAGAGTTGGAAGGGCCTTGGCTGTGCCACCTTGTCCAGTTCCCAGAGAACCAAACAACAAAACAAAACCACCCTTCTAAATCCAGTGCCCCAGGTGTCCTATTCAAGCATGCCTAGGCGTTTTAGATTTATGCAGCTGACACTTGTGGACTACCTATAGTGAGCCAGGCTAATTGTAATTCTTTCAACAACACTGTAAGGAAAATGATATTGCCCTGTTGAACTGATGTGGAAACTGAGACCCAAAAAGATTAATCCGGTGACTTGCCCAAAGACATGACACTTGCAGGTGGGCATGTTGCAGGTTGAGCCGCTGACAGAGCCCTTCAGACACGGCAGTGAGGAAGGAAGAGACTTTATTCAGCTAGCTGTGGAGCATTGGTGGACTCGAGTCCAGAAACAGAGCTCCCCGAGAAGCAGGGTTTTCCCTCTGTTTAAAGACATAAAACCCAAGGAGGAGCAAAGGTAAAACTGTGTCATTGCCCATTGGCTGGACATCTGACCTTACAGTCGTTGGCTTTCATTGATTTGCTAATTTACATGTGGAAGGGAAAAGAAGAAGAATTACAGAAGTTAAAGACAGTAAGTCACTCAGTGACAGAGGTATTTCTAAGGGTTGGGTCTAGATTGTACAAACGTGGACTATGTGTCTCAGAGCAGGTCCTTGGGCTCCAGGAAAAACATTATTTTGCAACATTTTCAAGGCTGATAGATAACATAGGCACCAGTTACAGAGAGGGGAGTTATTTTCTCAGCCCTTGGGCCCCACTGTGGTTGGGCCGGTAGCCACCTGACTGCTGAATTCAACTTTGTGTTATTTTATCTCCCCTCCCCCGCTTTCTAACAGAAGATGGGCAAGCTCAGCAGAGTCCAAGTCTTAAGTAACTTTATCATTGCTTAAGTTTCATCAGGTACATCTGGGTAACAGTGTAGGTGCGGCAACACTGAAAGTCAAGTAGAACAAGTTGGGCTTATCTGAAAACCTTTCTCCAGATTTTTTTTTTTTTTTAGATGGAGTTTCTCTCTTGTTGCCTAGGGTAGAGTTCAGTGGCACAATCTCAGCTCACTGCAACCTCCGCCTCATGGGTTCAAGTGATTCTTCTGCCTCAGCTTCCGGAATAGTTGGGATTACAGGCATGCACCACTAGGCCTGGCTAATTTTTTTTTATGTAGCAGAGATGTGGTTTCACCATGTTGGTCAGTCTGGTCTTGAACTCCTGACCTCAGGTGATCCACCCACCTTGGCCTTCCAAAGTGCTGGGATTACAGGCGAGAGTCACCACACCGCCCTCTTCAGATATTACAAAGTGGTAGTTGGTAGGCTGAGCCATGTCTCAAAGACCTTGATCCTCTCCAAGGCTGTTAGGTGACCCTCACAGGTGATGGAAATGGAATAATCAGAAATTGCAGATAATACAAGACTCATTCATCTCCAGAAGATGAAACAGCTCTCATGGAAATATTTTTTAAATCTCTTACTGGTAAGCATATTTTGATGGTGAAACCTTTTGCAATACAAATGAACTACTCTCAGGCTTATACCTACCACAGAAAAGAGTGGGGTGTGGGAAATTAGCTTGCCTTTTTCAAAATGTAATTTAAAATATATAGAAAGAGCGTGTGTCAAACATCTACTTAGCTTATTAATTAGGGAACCAGTAGGGCACTAAAGAAGATGTTAAAAGACTAGTTAATATACTCAGTGTAAGAAAAGAATGCTGGAATAGATTGCAAAGTTAGAAATAAAACTGGTTAATACCCTATAGAGCAATAGAACCATAACCTCTGGAGGAATGTTTTTCCAGTTGGGTGAATTATTTGCATCTCTACCAGCTGTTATTTATTGAAGCCTCATTATATCTAGCATTTGAGAGAAAGGAAATGGTTGCAGAGACAGATATCCCTGGCAGAGGGTCATCTTGGGTCCATGTTTGGTTTACTAAACTGTTAAGAGGAGTCCAGATCATGCCTTGTAAACATGGCTGCCATAGCCCTGTGGGTGGGAGGGCTAGTTACAGCAACAGGGAACCATTGTGATTTGGGTAGATGCTCCACCTAGTTTAAAGATTATTGTATCTGTGCTAAGGAGTTTGGATTCTGTGCTGAGAGCAAGTGGAGAGCCACTGAAGATATAATTGACATGCCTAGCTATCCGGTTCTCAGTGAAATCCTGGACCCCAGGTATATCTTCAGGGTATAATGCTTCGGGGTAAGAGTAGGAAAGGCAGAAGCTCAGTCAAGACCTCTCTAAAGCTCTAATCTTCAACCTGTTACATAATCAGCTTCCCTTAGAGCTTCTGAAGATCTTGGGAGGGGGTCCTCCAGTCCAGCTAGATCCTGTCTAATTGATTGCAGGGGATTGTTGCTGCCTAGGAAGGCAGTTGATGTGCTTTGGGTTCAGAGAATCTCAGACTCTCCTACCAGGTGCCCAGGAGATGTTTTCTCTGACTATAATGAATCTTTGTTGTCAGGGTATCAACTTCACAGTGTTGTGCTCAGTGGTAGGGTGAATGTTTCTTTTTTCAGATCACAGAGTAGATTATATCAGAGTAGAATGTAACATGATGACTCTCTCAGTCATAATTTTCATTTCTGACATTTACATCGTAATAGCATACTGATATTACATCGGTATCCAATATTTACATCAGATACTGTTATTACAACATATAAAAAGTCTATCACATTCAGTCTTGAGGAACAATTCTGATACACTGTCCAATTAAGAGTACAAGCTAGAAATCTGGAAGAGTCTTGACTTCCTTTACCTCACTGACACCTCACATCTATCATTCACCAAATAGTAGTGTAAGGCCGGTTGCCTCGCTGGGAGGTTGGACACACTCACCTCTGCACTCAGCACCTGACTCTGCACTCAGCAACTAGCTCTGCTGCATGGCTCCCCTGGAAGGCTCTGGCTGATGCAACCCTGGCCAGCTCTGGCACCAGAAAACCCGCCCAACAACCCACCAACCAATAGCAGCCTGCCCTGTCCCAATCCGGCTCCCCTGGAGCCAATCAGGGCACCCAGATGTTGGCTTCTTCATAGCCATAAAAACCATAAAAACCCCATGCCCCAGGAAGTCAGTGTGACTTCTCTGGCCCCCTTTCCCTGGGACCATAGAACCTCACCCAAGAGCTGAATAAATTGGCGTTTAATTTTCTTATGCTGGCCTCAGTTTCCTCATTTTAAACTCGGCAATAACCCTTACAACTAGCGATTCTGTCTTCTAAATATTTTTTATTTTTCCCCCTTGTCTCATACCCATCTACATGGTCTTAATTCATCCTCATTGATTTTGAGATGACTGTTACATGGATACCTGCAGAAGCCACTTCCCAGTTTTGCTAATTTAGTACTACCTCTGCAGTCCATTCTCTCCCTGCTTCCTGGCTGATTTCTTTTAATTTTAAATCTTACACTACGCACAATTCTCCCCAATCTTTCCCCATGACTGAAAATCTCTTAGTGAGTCCCCTTTGCCCGCTAAGCAAACCCAAGCTGCTTAGCACTGGCAAATAAGGCCCACAAGATTTGCCCTTGCCTACCTTCCCAGGCACCTTTTTACAGCCCCACAAGTTAACTTCCTATTTCAGGTGAACTTGGGATACTCAGTTTCTCTGACTTTCCAGATTCTCTCATTCCAGGGACTGTCATATCCAGGAATCTCCTGTGACCCACTCACTGGTGAGCTCTATCCTTCTGAGCTCCTACAGTCTTCTGGGCTTCTCTTCCTTCTGGCCCCTATGTTACTGTGTTTTACGTCTGATTAGTAATCTATTTCATTACAAAGGGCACATCCTGGGAAGAATTCTATCCTATATTCAACTCCATTTCTCATTTCCGGACATACTGCTTGACACAAAATACTGTACTCTCTGAAGTTTTGCTGGATGATGGATGAGCTGTTGGAAGTTCCTTCTAGAGCTTGGTTTTCCACATTTGATAAAAAGTTGTGAGTCAATTGCTACGTTTGTATTAAGTTGTAAGAAGGTGTTAACATGAATGTTTTTGTGGTTTGAAATGTTGCTTTTTCAGTGAGTGGTAGCTAAAGGCAAAGGAATTTGACTACTGCTAAGTTCCTGTGCTGAAATGAACTGGGAAAAGTGGTACGAAGGAAATGGTGGTGTTATTTAACTCTATAAATTTCTGGGTAAAGAATCTATTATAGCTTTTTCCGTTAGTCATTCAAATGATTACTCCACATTCAATGTTCTGTATCATAATTGTTTCCTGCTTTGGTTGAATGACATTGCTTGAGCTAAATTAAACCTGTGCCATTATTATGCTTTCTTTGCAAAATTAATTCTTCTTTTCACTTCCTAGCTAGGCTTTGTATCACCTTCCTACACAGTGTTGTATGTCAGAGATATTAAAAATAATATGCTGGAATATTACCTGCTTTGGGGTATTTTTTTTATTTCCCATTGTTATAATTTAGAGAAGAAAGTCATTTCAAAAGTAAACATTTGACTCATTTATCACCTCTGCCTAAGTGCTTTACACCTGCATCATTTGTTCATTCATCCAAGCTACTTTTTTTTTAGAGACGGAGTTTCGCTCTTGTTACCCAGGCTGGAGTGCAATGGCGCGATCTCGGCTCACCGCAACCTCCGCCTCCTGGGTTCAGGCAATTCTCCTGCTTCAGCCTCCTGAGTAGCTGGGATTACAGGCATGTGCCACCATGCCCAGCTAATTTTTTGTATTTTTAGTAGAGACGGGGTTTCACCATGTTGACCAGGATGGTCTCAATCTCTTGACCTCGTGATCCACCCGCCTTGGCCTCCCAAAGTGCTGGGATTAGAGGTGTGAGCCACCAAGCCCGGCCTCATCCAAGCTACTTTTATCCACTCTTTCTGTATGTTGCACAAGCATTGAGCTGACTTTGTACTTGAGGATTACTTTTCAACTATCCTTCTGTAGCAAAAAAAAAATCATTTTTGGAGGAATCCCCCCTGAAAATGATTGGAAGTGATAGATACACTGTGTAAGAAATGGCTGTTTTTTTCTGGAGTCATTCTACTTTTTCTTGTTTACAGCACAGCTTAGCTTAATTTACCTGTCCTTATGTATACATAAGAACAAGAACGATACCTACAATTTAGTCAACCACAGAGAGCCATAAAGACAATTATATGTACTCAGCACAATGTTATATAATTTACACACGTTTAAGGGCCGAGAAGAATGTTCGAGAATGGCATCCATGTTTGGTAGAAGCAGATGGTACCCTTGTTGACTCAGCAGAGGTGACCTTGCCTTCTCCGTTCTGTAAAAGAAATAAGTAAATTTGAAATTCCATTAATAAATCACCAGCTTGACTTTAAATGTGATTAGAAAAACATAGTCAATCCTCATTTTTTGCAGTTTGTATATTTGAGAATTTGCCTACTTGCTGAAATTTATTTGTAAATTTTATTTTATTTATTTGTATTTATTTTTTCTTTGAGATGGAGTCTTGCTCTCTCACCCAGGCTGGAGTGCAGTGGCATGATCTCAGCTCACCGCAGCCTCCACCTCCTAGGTTAAAGCAATTCTCTTGCCTCAGCCTCCCAAGTAGCTGGGAGGAATGTTGATGTCGCCATATATAGTTGTAAATGTGTCTATTTCTCTATGAGTTCAATCAGTTTTTGCTTCATGCCTTTTGGAACTCTGTTGTTGGGTAGATACAAACTGATAACCGTATGTCTTCTGGGTAAATTGACCTTTATCATTTTGTACTGTCCCTTTTTATCCTTGGTAATTTTCCTTTATATGAAGTCTACTTTTTTGTTACTGTAGACAACATAGATTTCTTTTGATTAGTGTTGGCATGGTTTGTTTTCATTTTTTCACTTTTAACATATGTATATCATTATATTTAAAGTAAATTTCTTGTAGACAACATACAGTTTTTTTAAAAATCCAATCTGACAATCTTTGTTTTTTAAATGATATATTCAGACCATTTACATTTAATGTGATTACTGATATAATTGGATTTAGAACTCCTATTTTGTTATTTTTGTTTGTTTTTGCTCTTCTCCTTCCTTACCTTCTTTGAATTATTTTTAGTATTCCATTTTAATTTATTCATTAGGTTTTTTTTCCCTTTCTTTCTTTCTTTTTTTTGCCTATGTCTGTATTAGTCCATTCTCACACTGCTGTAAAGAACTACCTGACCTGTAAATCCCAGCATTCTGGGAGGCTGAGTGGATTGCTTGAGCTCAGGAGTTCAAGACCAGCCTGGGTAATATGGTGAAACCCCATCCCTACAAAAAATACAAGAAAATTAGCCAGATATGGTGGCACATGTCTGTACTCCCAGCTACTAAGAAGACTAAGGCAGAGGATTGCTTAGGCCCAGGAGGCAAAGTCAACTTGAGTCAAGCTCAGATTGTGGCACTGCATTCCAGCCTGGGAGACAGGCAAGACTCCGAAACAAAACAAAACAGAAACAGCAACAACAACAACAAAAAGAAACCCAAGCCAACAACCTACCTGGGACTGGGGAATTTATAAATAAAAGAGGTTTAATGGTTCTGCAGGTTTTAGAGGAAACATGGCTGGGGAGGCCTCAGGAAACTTACAATTATGGCAGAAAGTGAAGGAGAAGCTGGTACATCTTCACATGGCAGAGCAGGAGAGAGAGAATGAAAAGGGAAGCACTACACACCTTTAAACAACGAGATCTCATGAGAACTAATTCACCATCACAAGAACAGCAAGGGAAATGTCTACCCCCATGATCCAATCACTTCCCACTAGGCCCCTTCTTCAACACATGGGAATTACAGTTCAACATGAGATTTGGGTGGGGACATGGAGCCAAACCGCATCAATCTCCTTGTATTTTTTTCTAGTGGTTGTTCTAGGGAATATATGTATATAATATTATAAATACGTGTGTATATATATTCTCTTAATTTACCTGGATTTAATATTTAACAACTTCAAGTCAAATGTTGAAGATTAGCAACCGTATAGATTTCTTTATCTTCCCTCTTTTTGCTTTAGTTGTTATCTGTATTACATTTGGATACATTGACACCCTCTCAAACAATGTCACAGTTTTTGCTTTCAAACTTCATACACAGTTTCAATAAGTTAAAAAAGAGAAGTATTATTTAAGTAAATATTTATCATTTCTACTGTTTTTTATTCATTCCTGAAGTTTCAAGTTTTATTCTGGGAACATCTTTCTTCCACATTAGCTTCTTTAGCAATTTTTCTTAGAAATATTGGCAATGAATTCTCTTTGTTTTCCTTCATTTGAGAATATCTTTATTTTGCATTCATTCCTGAAGGATACTTTCACTGAATAGAGAATTCTGAGTTGACATTTTTTTTCTTTCAGCACTTCAAAGATTTTGTTCCACTGCCTTTATAGTTCCTGATGAGGAATCATTAGTATTCACTAGTACTTGTAGTATTTGAGTCGTTGCTCTCCTATATAAAATATATCATTTTGCTATGGCTGCTTTCTAGATATTTTTCTTTATCTTTGGTTTTCGGCAGTTTAATTTTGATGTGTGATAGCATAGTTTTCTTTTGAGTTTATTTTGTTTGGGTTTTCTAGACTTCTTGAATCTATGAATTTATGTCTTTTGCCATATTTGAGGAGTTTTTGTTTATTATTTTGTCAAATATTTTGTCTGTCCTGATATCTTTCATCTCTGCTTCAGGGACTCCAATGATACTGAGATTGTCCCACAGATTCCCATGGCTATTTACCTACTTTTAATCCTTTTTCTCTTTGTTTTACAGGTAGGTAATTTTTACTGATTTATCTTTAAATTCACTGACATTATTCTCTCTCATCTCAATTCTGCTATTGAGCCCACTCAGTGTATTTTTAAATTTCAGCTATTCTACTTTTCAATTCTTAAATTTCTCTTTGGCTCTTTTTTTATAGTTTCTTTGTCGCTGCTTACTACTCATGTCTCTTTTCAATTTGGAAGTGCTTACATTCACCTCATAGAAAAAAGGCATAATGACTGCTTGAAATTATTGACTCCTATGCATTTGGTCTCTTGCACTTGACCCCTTGGATTCTTTGTGGCTCCAGTGCACCTGCTTTGGGACTTCACTTGTCCATTGGACTTCCCCACCCTCACTGCTGTGGCCTGCAATTGACACTATCATGTCAAAGTCATGTCTTGAGTCCCCAGCTAGGCTAGTATCGTTGCTATTTCCTCTTCCCCAACAATGTCTTTGATCATGCTGGGCACGCTGAATTAAATGCATTCATTGATAGAAAAATGGCAGAAAAATCGCAGGTTCAATCCAGCCAATGTAACACTTTATTACAATAATACAATGTGATTATTCTCTTGAATAACTGTTTGCATTCTGAAGCATCTGAAGTAGAATTTCATGGAGCACAAATGTAGTGGACATTTCATACCTCCAAATGTTTTAAGCCAAATTATGATTGCGGACAGCCCTTATAAATCTAATTACATGTCACATAAGTGACTCCACAGGTACCCAGGCCAGATGGAATTAATATATTCGTGCTGCTATTAATCATGTGAGAGTAAGACAAATAATATATTAACATGATTTTGTAAAATGAGCTGCCACTTATCTGCTGTAATCACCTACTTCATTAAGGTATTGGCAGCATTTAGCAAGGCTGGTGTTGCAGTCTGTTTTTGTTGCTATAAAAGAATGCATGAAGCTGGTAGTTTATAAAGAAAAGAGGTTTCTTTGGCTCTTGGTTCTGCAGGCTATACAAGAAGCATGGCACCAGCATCTGCTTCTGGTGAACAGCTCAGGCTACTTCCATTCCTGGTGGAAGGAAAAGGGGAACTGGCATATGCAGAGATGACATCCAAGAGGGAAATCAAGAGAGAGAGGTGGGAGGTGCCAGGCTCTTTTTAACAACCAGTTATCTTGGGAGCTAATAGAGTAAGAACTCACTGATACCTACCACCCCCATCCTCCATCTCGTCATGAAGGGTCTGCCCCCATGGTCCATATACCTCTCATTAGGCCCCGCCGTCAACACTGGGGATCACATTTCAACATGAGACTCAGAGGGGACATACAAACCGTATCCAAACTATACGAGTGGCAAATCGACAACATCTACTTGTTCATTCAAAAGAAATAGTTGGTTAAAAACATTAGATGATCCATGGATGTTTCAGCCTTTTCTTTCACTGACCTGGCGTACTGAAAAGCAATAAATTCCTTCCTAACTTAAATAAAGTAATGGTGGATATGCCTAAGGCCACAAATCTATTTAACGTAGCTGGAGTTAATTTGATTAATTGTGAAGTTCTAGGCAGTAATTTCTTAAACTTTGTGTTTAGCTTTATTAACCTTGATAAGCTAAGATCAACTTTTCTGTAGCTGTCATACTTTGAAAAACTCATGTTAAGTACGAATTGCCGATCTCAAACCCATTTAAAAATATTCCATTGTCTTCTGGGTAATTTCATTATTTTTCTTTAATTTAAAGTTGAAATGTTTGCCTATTGAGTGCTGTGATGAAACCTTTCCCTATGAAACTTTCTAGAGAAAAAACTTTATTTCATAAATTACAGATGCTCAGAATTGAAATTCATTCTTTTTTTTTCTTTCTCTTTTTTGAGAAAGAGTTTTGCTTTGTCACCCAGGCTGGAGTGCAATGGCACGATCTCAGCTCACTGCAGCCTCTGCCTCCTGGGTTCAAGTGATTCTCCTGACTCAGCCTCCTGAGTAGCGGGGACTATAAGCATGTGCCACCACATCCAGCTAATTTTTACATTTTTAGTAGAGTCAGGGTTTCACCATGTTGGCCAGGATGGTCTCGATCTCCTGACCTCATGATTTGCCTGACTTGGCCTCCCAAAGTGCTGGGATTACAGGCGTAGGCCACCGCGTGTGCCCTGGAATTCATTCTTTTATGTATCCAAGAGGTGTTTGTTGAGTGGTTACTATGTACCAGGCCTGTCCTAGGTACTCGGGAGATGGGGGTGAATCAGACACATAAATGCCTTGCTTTTATGGAGTTCACATACCAGTGAATATAAGCAAAAATAATAGGTGGACAAGTGCATAAAATAATTTCAGGTATTAAATATTATGTAGAAAATGATCAGCTTATTTAAAACCTTCTGGGGTGTAAACACACCAAACAAACAGAGTTTGGATTTTATTCTGAGAACAAAGAGAAGTTACTGTGAATTTAAAGTGGAAAGTATAAGCAGGTTCACTATACACTGGTTATCAACGTTATCACCCACCTACACATCAGGTTACCTGAAGTGGGTTTATTACTCACAGAAAGGTAGCCAGGAGCAACTGAAGCCTAAGGTCCACTGTAAGCTGGTCCCTCAAGGCACAGGAAATCTGCCCTCGGCAGATGGAGTCTTGCCTGTACATCCACTTGCAATGCAGGTGAAGGACCCCAGAAAGCATCCCACTCTGTGTTTTACACTCTGGGGTTCTGAGCGTTGCTGGGCCAAAGCACTGAAGGACATCCTGTTTCTGGAGAGGAACTGGAATAGAGCCCAGGCTGTTGTGGCCAGCTTCTTCTTAACTCAGGACATTGCATTTCAGTATGGGCTGGAGTACAATGGTGCAATCTTGGCTCACCATAATCTCTGTTTCCCAGGTTCGAGCAATTCCCCTGCCTCAGCCTTCTGAGTAGCTGCAATTACTGGTGTGCACCACCACGCCCTGCTAATTTTATATTTTTACTAGAGACTGGGTTTCTCCATGTTGGTCAGGCTGGTCTTGAACTCCTGACCTCAGGTCATCCGCCAGCCTTGACCTCCCAAAGTGCTGGGATTACAGGTGTGAGCTACTGCACCCAGCCCCCCAGCACACTTTATACTTATTCTTGAAAACTACAAATGAGAAAGATAGAAGAACTGGGTTGATTCAAAGTTACCTAGATAACTGTCTGTAGAAAGAAGTCTTTACAAGTTCAAACTGGCTGCAATATTTAAAAATGGGTTAAGGCAACAAAGAGTAATTAAAAGTGATAAATGGGCCGGGTGCGGTGGCTTCAAGCCTGTAATCCCAGCACTCTGGGAGGCCAAGGCGGGTGGATCACGAGGTCAAGAGATCGAGACCATCCTGGTCAACATGGTGAAACCCCGTCTCTACTAAAAATACAAAAAATTAGCTGGGCATGGTGGCACGTGCCTGTAATCCCAGCTACTCAGGAGGCTGAGGCAGGAGAATTGCCTGAACCCAGGAGGCGGAGGTTGCGTTGAGCCGAGATTGCGCCATTGCACTCCAGCCTGGGTAACAAGAGAGAAACTCCATCTCAAAAAAAAAAAAAAAAAAAAAAAAAAAAAGTGATAAATGTTCAGATAAAAGATGAACTTGAATCAAGGTGGGGGGAGGGGAGATGAAGAGAAAGAAGGGTTCTCTGTAAACCATAGAATATGCTTTTAGATCACTAGAAAAACTGCCTACAAACAATGACATATTCTTTCTTTTCCCTACTATAAATGCAACTCTTACCTGTTTCTTGTGTCTATAACCTTTTTGTACTTGGATATTGGTATCTCACTCTAGTCTTGGGCAGTTCTCTGTTATCATTCCTTTGAATAAACAATGTAGCCCTGTCTTTTTCTCTCTTCTTTTTTAAGGCCAGTAAGTTTTAGATTTGTCATTTTGAGGCCATTTTCTATAACCCGTAGGCATGCTTCATTGCTTTTTATTCTTTTTTTCTTTTGCTTCCTCTGAATGTGTATTTTCAAATAGCCTGTCTTCAAGCTTACTAATTCTTCTTCTTCTCTATCAATTCTGCTATTAAGAGATTCTGATGCATTCTTCAGTGTGCTGATTCCATTTTCCAAATCCAGAATTTCTGCTTGATTCTTGATTATTTCAGTCTCTTTGTTAAATTTATCTGACAGAATTGTGAATTCCTTCTCTGTGTTATCTTGAATTTCTTTGAGTTTCCTCACACAGCTACTTTAAATTCTCTGTCTGAAAGGTCACATATCTCCATTTCTCCAGGACTCCATGTTGGTCAGGCTGGTCTCAAACTCCTGACCTCAGGTGATCTACCCGCCTCGGCCTCCCAAAGTGCTGGGATTACAGGCGTGATTACAGCACCATTTATTAAATAAAGAATCCTTTCCCCATTTCTTGTTTTTGTCAGGTTTGTCAAAGATCAGATGGTTGTAGATCTGTGGCGTTATTTCTGAGGCCTCTGTTCTGTTCCACTGGTCTATGTATCTGTTTTGGTACCACTACCATGCTGTTTTGGTTACTGTAGCCTTGTAGTATAGTTTGAGGTCAAGTAGGGTGATGCCTCCCAGTTTGTTCTTTTTGCTTGGGATTGTCTTGGCTATACGGGCTCTTTTTTAGTTCACATGGAGTTTAAAGTAATTTTTTCTAATTCTGTGAAGAAAGTCAATGGTGGCTTGATGGCAGTAGTTTTGAACCCATAAATTACTTTGGGCATTGTGGCCATTTTGACAATATTGATTCTTCCTATCCATGACCATGGAAGGTTTTCCTATTTGTTTATGTTCTCTCTCATTTCCTTGAGCAGTGGTTAGTAGTTCTCCTTGAAGAGGCCCTTCATATCCCTTGTATGTTGTATATCTAGGTATTTTATTCTATTTGTAGCAACTGTGAATGGGAATTAACTCAGGATTTGGCTCTTTGTTTGTCTATTATTGGTGTATAGGAATGCTTGTGAGCTTTGCACATTGATTTTGTATCCTGAGACTTTGCTGAAGTTGCTTATTAGCTTAAGGAGTTTTTGGGCTGAGACAATGGGGTTTTCTAAATATATGATCATGTCATCAGCAAACAGAGACAATTTGACTTCTTCTCTTCCTGTTCGAATACCAGTTATTTCTTTCTCTTGCCTGATTGCCCTGGCCAGAACTTCCAATACTATGTTGAATAGGAGTGGTGAGAGAGGACATCCTTGTGTTGTGCCGGTTTTCAAAAGGAATGCTTCCAGTTTTTGCCCATTCAGTGTGATATCGGCTGTGGGTTTGTCATAAATAACTCTTATTATTTTGAGATATGTTCCATCAATACCTGGTTTATTGAGTGTTTTTAGCATGAAGGGGTGTTAAGTTGTATTGAAGGTCTTTTCTGCATCGATTGAGATAATGATGTGGTTTTTGTCTTTGATTTTGTTTATGTGGTGGATTACGTTTATCGATTAGCATATGTTGAACCAGCCTTGAATCCCAGAGGTGAAACCAACTTGACTGTGGTGGATAAGCTTCCTGATGTGCTGCTGGATTTTGTCAGTATTTTATTGAAGATTTTTGCATTGATGTTCATCATAGATATTGGCCTGAAATTTTCTTTTTTTGTTGTGTCTCTGCCAGTTTTGGGGGTCAGGATGATGCTGGCTTCATAAAATGAGTTAGGGAGAATCTCGCCTTTTTCTGTTATTTGGAATAGTTTCAGAAGGAATGGTACCAGCTCCTCTTTGTACCTCTGGTAGAATTCGGCTGTGAATTGGTCTGATCCTGGGCTTTTTTTTTTTTTTTTTTTTTTTTTTGGTTGGTAGGTTATTATTTACTGCCTCCATTTTAGAACTTATTGCTGTGTTCAAGGATTCAACTTCTTCCTGGTTTACTGTTGGAGGGGGGTGTATGTGTCTAGGAATTTATCCATTTCTTCTAGATTTTCTAGTTTATTGCTAGCTTTCAAATTTGTTTACTCTTGCTTCTCTAGTTCTTTTTTTTTTTTTTTTTTTTTGAGACGGAGTTTCGCTCTTGTTACCCAGGCTGGAGTGCAATGGCGCGATCTCGGCTGACAGCAACCTCTGCCTCCCGGGTTCAATCAATTCTCCTGCCTCAGCCTCCAGGGTAGCTGGGATTACAGGCACGCGCCACCATGCCCAGCTAATTTTTGTATTTTTCTTTTTAGTAGAGAAGGGGTTTTACCTTGTTGACCAGGATGGTCTCGATCTCTTTACCTTGTGATCCACCCGCCTCGGCCTCCCAAAGTGCTGGGATTATAGACGTGAGTCACTGTGCCTGGCCAACACAGTTGATATTCTGATTGAGTGGCTTCCCAGGCTCCAAACCAGAAGTGTCTCTGTCAGATGTTTCTTCCAAATGCCACTCATTGGTGAGGAGGAGGGTCACGTCTGGCTGCAGTTTTTCTTGGCTCTGTTCCAGGAAACTGTTCTGGCTGAAGTGGGTAAAGCAAGATGTTTGTCAAGAGTTGCTTCTTCCAAAAACCAGAGGCACCTGACTGCTCTTCTCTCACAGCTGCTTGGAGCTGTTATCTAAATTTTGGGCACCTCTATCAGCAACA